TCTCGCGTGAAACTTTTACTCTCGCCCCGCATCTCATTTCATTCAACGTTCAATCGTCCGACTCGTCGTTTCCCCGACGAGGCGAATTAGGATGAAATAGAAATTAGCCTGACGCGGTGTGTTACACCTATTATAGGCTCCGTGCGAAAGGAGAGTGTGCTCGCTTTTAATTAGTTATCCGAAAGTCGGAAACAACGCGACGGGAAAAACCGCGCTCTGTGGGGGGGTTTATATTATCTGGGAACACACAACGCGCGCGGGCGATATGAGGATGCGCGCGAGGGAAAACGCGCCGATGCCGCGCGGTGAATTCGCGCCGGATATTTAGGTTAATGGCGCTCTTTCCTCGCGCCTTTCTTCCGTTGCATGCAGTATAGTCGATCTTAACTAGCTTTTACTACCGGTCGGTGTCGGATAGGGGAGGTCAGGGACGAGTTGTGCATTTGTTATCTCCGCGTGCGCGCGTAGAAATGTTGCGCACCGCGCTCGACGCGTCATGTCATTCATAATAATCGTCGGCTCGAGAATACGCGGGGCACGAGCCGAGAAACGTTCGAAAATTTGTTCATTTATATGCCAATATCTCTCTGCTAATTCGGTATATATATATATATACATGCGATTTTAAATAAATCGGATTATCGAAATATCTTCTTTAAAAACTATTTTTTAATAAATGTGAAAATACTCGAGAATCTCGCGCGCGCGCAGGAATTTTCATTTTGAAGAATTTCCCTCAATTTCTCTCTCTGTGCATTCATTCCCGTTTTCGCGAGAACCGTTAGCCGTCCGGTGGCGATAGCGCGCGCTGCTAGCTTCCTATGCCAGCTTGCTATTAGAACTACGCCCTGTGCGAAAGAACCGGCGATTATTAAAATTCTCTCGAACGTGTTATTTCGATGCCGATCGGATTCCCGTCTCTCAAGTTAAGTAAATCTCTCACGCGAGTAATTAGCCGCGCACAGACGCGGTTTTAATCTTCGCTGAAAAGTCGAGCGAGCGAGCGAGCGAGCGAGCAAAACCCGGGGGCACATATTTGAAAACGTGTAACGTCGCAACATAAAACGCGCTTTTTCGCGTATCTTTCGCGACCGCGGGGTCTCTCTCACGCGGTGCAGGAAACAAATTAACGGGTTGTCTGACTTTTATACAAGGCGGATCGAAAACGCGCGGTCAGAGCGCGGCGTTGCAGAACTTCCGCTTCTCTGCGATGCTACCTACTACGTACATATGCGCCACTTTCGCGTGGAGAAAAAACATTTACGGAAAATTATAGCGCGCGTCGTTGCACGCTCGGTTGTACGCACACAGAAGAGAGAGAGAGAGAGAGAGAGAGAGAGAGAAAGCGTCATTTATTACGCGCTCCGGGATAAATCCCCTTAAGCGCAAAGCATGAAAAATACAAAATCAAATACAGTGATTGTAACAAATTAATTAAAACAAAAATTAACAAAAAGAAAAGAAAAATGTAAAATTAACGAAAATTTAACAAAAATAGTAAAACTTATAAACAAAGTGAGAACAAGACAAAAGAATGAAAGACAAAGAGCTGATGAGACATACAAGAAATAAGAAAATATGAAAAGGCAAGCATTAGGTGCAACCAGAGCTGCTACTATCTAGCAAGAAATCAAATACGAACGACTTGAATAGATTGTGAGACTCAATTGCACGCAAATCAGACGGCAAAGTATTCCATGCTTCAACGGCTGAACATGTAAAAGATCTCTTAAAGGTCTCAGTACGACAGAGAGGCATAATGAGATCGTTGGCAGATGTTCTGGTGCTTCTAGATGTAGTGCCGCGTTTATGGAATCTTTCGAACAAAATTGAAGGCTTGTGAGTCGTTAATATATGATGCAGAAGACAGCAGACGAAGTAAGTTCTTCTTGATTTAATTTTTAGCCAGTGGAGGTCTTCATAATAAGGTGTTATATGCAGGTCTCTTTTGATTCCAAAAATAAAGCGTATGCAATCATTCATTGCTCTTTGTAGTCTTAGGTTATGCTCAGCAGATATGTCCGTCATAATGCAACAACAATAATCAAAAAGCGGAAAAATCAGCGCGATGACAAGGTTCTGCTTGAGTTTTTGGGGTAGCAAGTTCTTGCAAAGTTTTAGCTGGTGTAACACTCTGCGAGATTTGCCAGCAACACTCGTAACGTGCCTCTCCCAAGAGAGATTGCTAGAAATAGTAACTTAATAGTAAGAGAGAGAAAGAGAGAGAGAGAGAGAGAGATGCAACTCTTCTTTTATTGTCGAATAAACACCGACGTTAAACATACACCGCACGCATATAATCCGAACGAGAGAGATTTTTCTTAATGAAATATATTCGGCGAGTTCAAGGACACCAAGGAAGAGACACGCTTCGGTAAATAATTTAATATTCTCCGTATATACACGCACACATACATATATATATGTAATACGTCAAGACTCGCCGGCCGCCGCCCTTGACACCGGAGTTTCGCCCCGTGAACACGAACAATATCTGCCTTGAACTCTTCCTCCTTTGCGGTCTCTGTCCGGCGGAGACACGTGTTATAGATTTGGTCTCGCCATTCTTAAAGTATATTCATTCAGCAAACACACACCGCTCCAGTGAGGAGCGGATATTCACTTTCTCGGGAGAATCGTATATATTTCGCATTCACAAAATTATACAGATACAAATTTATCTTAGCTTCAACGGAGTTGAACTTTTGCGTGTGTGCGCGCGCGATAATTTTCACCCTTCGTGAAATTTATCTCGCGAAATTTTGAAGCGGACTGTGTGTTTTAGAAAGTTAGTTTGTTATGATTGTTTTTGTACTCTCAATGTGGTTTCGAATTAATAAGTTTTCTGGCGCGCGTTGAAGTTGATTTCGATAGATTTTCAAGCGCGATAAGAAATACCGGTTTATCTAGATTAAGAGCTGTGTCTACTTTCGCGCTAATTTACGGTATCGGTGAAGCGAAGTCGGAACGGGCGAAGTACTCGCGAGATACCAGATGGTTTTCTATTTGTAATTTGTGTGTTAACGTATAGAAAATATTCGTGCTCTGAATGCCATTTGCGAGACACGGATTGTTTCGCGTTTAAAATTGAAACAAAAACACATTTTCTATTTTCATTCCGGCGCAAAGTCTTTGAAAAAAAAAAAGGAAAATCGCGTAATTGATGTTGATCTCTTTTTTAACGTGGAAAGTAACAACGAAGTCACGCTTTTTAATTTATTTTATAAAATCTGGTTAAAGCTTCTCCGGACGAATCAATTAAAAACACGGCTGATTCCAATTTTTTTCACTTTTCGTTTTTTTTTTTATTTTTGATCGGCGCGTTCCCGAGCTTCGCGCGAGAAGAAAACAATGCGCTCTCTCTCGATCGTGATGCATCACGTTCAATTTGCTCGTCCGCGATTATCAATTTCGACACGCGAATTGCCTCATAAGTATTCGTAATAGCTTGACACGGGGGGGCACCGTTGCATCAACCGGCGCGCGGGGGGTGGAGAGGGGCTTCTCGCGCGCGCTATAATAATCCATGCGGAAATAATTCCGTAATGCAAAAACCATCCTCGCAGTCACATATTCATGTTCTCTCAGACGCGCGTATGTTAAGTCGCTGTATAATTCTAATGGCGACGCTTTTAACGCTGACCCACTTCGCTTCCTGTTTTCCGCGTAAGTGTCGAGCGCGCGTCCTGCGCTCGTATTACCTTACCCTACCGTATGTGTGTGTGTATACGTACACCCGAGTTTAATTACTACGAGGAACATCCTGGGAATCTTCCTCGTCTCGCGGCGGTAAAACAGTACCGGAAGAAATCAACAGCGACGCGGTGTACTCACGGTCAAATCTTCACCGCGCCGATCGTGTGGACAGATTTCTTTTCGCGATATAAAAGATCGCGGGTACCGTATTAAAAGCGGCAAGCGTGAGAGATGTTATTAAAACGCGACGGTTGTCTCCTAATGCTATATAACGAATGACGGAGAGAGAGAGAATTCCCTTAAGAGAACTATTACGCTTACTTGCGACACGCTATCTTTTACTTAACTACTCGCGCGATAATTAAACATCATAAATTTTGACACGCAAATCATGAGAATTTTCTCTATCTTTTTCTTATTTAAATAATGATCATCAATAATAAACTGTTTTAACAGAGTTATGAAGAAGACACACCCGTGGGGACGTGCAATTATTATTTTAAGTTGACTTTGAAAGCGGAAAAGTGCGAAACTACTACCCTACCGGTTTCGAATAATATCAGAAGTTCGTCCGTTCTTTTTTTTTTTTTCTCACAGCTCTCTAATCCATACCCTCGCTATTGCGCGTTCGAAGCATTTTTCCAAGTTACAATTTTCAGTAAAAAAGAGTACGTAACCGTATGTGGAGTGTAATATGTTATACCACCGCTCTTTTGAGACGTTCTTTATGTTGCAATTTTAATGAACGGGAGCGGCACAGAAGAGAAAAAAAGAAAATAATACGTGTGTCTTGGACAATGTCCAGTTTTACGAAGAGAAAGATACTCAATATAAGGAGAAAATTACGCTGTCTCGGAAATAAAATTCGCGCGATACGAATCTGTGTTATCTTTGAAAAAGTTGCATATTCTCTTCGAGTTTACGGTTCAAATACTACAAAAATGAGCTCTTTATCCAAGTTCGCGGTGTCAAAACACCTCCGTGCAAGGTGATATAAAAAAAAAATATAAAAAAAAATAGCACGCAATCGGGAGCGATGTCAGAGAGTCCGTCACGGACGTCGAGTAGGGCGACGTGAGTGATTTGAGCACACGGCCATAGGAAGTAGGATGGTCGACGGAAGTCCTCCCCCGAAACATATGGTGGGGCTGTCTTTTTCTATCTCTCTCTCTCTCTTTCTCTTTTTCTCTCTCTCTCTCTCGCGTGCTCTGTAAAGACACATACTCGTTTGTGCTCTCCCATTTCCTGCGGTGCGGCCGGTGAAAAGAGCATGGCAGAGCAGTTTACAAGTGGCGGCCGGCACTTATGCACGTCACGATCGCGAGAGCATTTGCGAGCTGCCAGCCGCAACGCGATAAGCTCTCAGTGTTGCGCCTATCGTTTTGATAAAACCCCTATCAAACGAGGGGATTATTATGAAGTCCGTGTAATTTGCGCGCGATGGGTGTTCTTCGCTGTTGCGGCGCGTTGTGTGTCGGGGGGGATTCTCTCGCTCATATCGAGTCCAGTGTGTTACGCGGTGTGTGTGTTGCGTAATTACGAAAACCCGTTATAATATTGCATAATAATCACGTGTGTGCTTACGCTTGAGTATACGAGATGAGTTATTCGTACGGTTGCGTCGCTTTGTCGTCACGGTAAAGCTAAAATAACAATCGATATCTCGATAGCTCTGTGACCGCGCGCGCGGTCGATCCGAAGTTTCGGCGCGAAAACGGGAGAGCGACAATGGGAGAGCGTTTTCACGCGCGATTTCTATCACCAATATAGTGCGCGCATAAAGTGCGATTTTTTACAGCGACGAGACGCGCAGCAGCGAGGTTTCTTTATTCCCGTGATATCATAGTTACGCGCGACGGAACAAAAGAGAGACAGAGCGGCGGGCGGGGAACGCACGCACACACACACATACATACACGTACGCACGCACGCACGGTGAAGGTAGGAAAGTGATACGGATATCTCTTCTTTTTTCTCCCCCGACTCCGCGATGCGAGGGAGAAGCGCCGCGCGTTTCACCTGTGCACCGATGCACAGGAGGAAGCCTTAGACATTTCGTCTCAGTCGCGTGTTTACATTGAGTGCGGCACGATGAGACTGCCGCGCTGCTAATGCAGCGGAAAAGAGTTGCATTGCCGTAATTTACGGTCTGTTCGCCGGAGTGTACCGTTTTCTTTTTGCCGAGAGTTTTTCGCAAACAACATGAAATAAATAATCGCCGCGGGAACGCGTCATTTTCGTCATTTCGCCCACCGCGGGTTTATTTTTATCGGGAATTAATTAATCTTGCGACATTTTTTACAATTATTATATACACCAACGATTACATTCCAAGTCTGAATGAATCGTCACAACGATGACGTTGTCGCGAACTGTCGCGCGGTGTGAGTCACGATGAAATTTTGTGGCGAGTTTTCTTTCGCGCGAAAGAACTGGAGCAATGAACATTATCGCGGCGCGGTCGGTGAAACCGCGGTCTTACAATCGCGCGCGAAGAGAAGCTGCCGCGGATTCTAATGATTTTTTTTTTTTTTTTTTTTCACGAGAGAACCAGTTGAGAAGAGTAAAAGCAATCGTGTACGAGGTTTAGTAGCGTAATAAAATCTGCGATATCCTCCTCGCCGCGACTTGCGAAATTAAATCGCGGACGAAACGAGCTGCTAAAACGTATATATATATATATATATTTTAGAGAGATCCGCGTAAAAAATAATAAAAATTTATTATTTCAACGCGCGCGCGTATTAATTAACAAATAAAAAATTTCGTTGTGCGAAAAATTATAATCGAATTGTAAAATTAATTTGTGCATTTAGATTTTGTATACTCTGATATTATTTTCGAGTCACATTCACCCTCGCCGATAGAGAAAAGATCGATTGCGAGATCCGCTGGTGCTTTATATATCGATTACGAAACCGCACGTCCCAGAAAATGAGCCGTCGCGAGTGACATGTCAAGGCGAACTCGCGGTCAGTGCGCGGAGGACTGCAGGTGCATATTGTGTCGCGAGTTGAAGGGTTGCAAGATGAGCGTTACCGGCGGCGTCGAGGTTCAACAGCGCGTCGGGAGCGATAGCACGAACTTCATCCTGCGACGGGCCGTGCCCTTTTTGTCGAAACTGCCGCCACCGCCGCCGCACGAGGAGTGGCAGGAGATCATCGCGCGCGATAGTCATTACGATTACGAGAGGAGTCCGACCTTGGAGGACAGAAGTAGTCGCCGCGGTAACAATAACGTCGCGAACGACGCAAACTCCCGCAAACTGCCGTCTTCGACGAGCAACGACGTCGGGAAAACGAAGGACGTCGGTCACAAGACGGTCATCTATTTCGGCGACTCAACGTCGAGACAGAAGGAAAACAAATCATCATCAGGAAGGCAACGTCTGCCGTCGCCGGAGGTTGGCGCGTCATCGGGATACAACGAGGATCCTGAGACGTTCGCGCGATTGCAGAAAGACGACGGGGCGACGGAGATCTTTAAAAGTTCGGCAGAGCGACACGAAAACTCCGGGAACAACTCCGAGGAGGATAACTCCGGGCAACAAGACGTCGCGCCGGAGAACGGCGGCGAATCCAAGGTCGTGCACGAGATCGTGGTAAACGTCAGTCCCAGCAGGGAGGACGTGCTGAGGATCGAGGAGGATGAGAGCCAGCTGGAGGACTATTGGTCCTTGCCGGGGGACAGGAGCGGGTTCAAGGCGGATTGGAGCTTCGTGCAACAGTGGCGGCTGAGGGGGTAAATTCATGCTCGCTCGCTTGCTCGCTCGAACTTGTTTGTTGTTCTTGAAAGAAGAAAAATGGATATTGCCTTTCGGCAAGTCGGGGGAGGGGGATTCCAATTCGCGTTCTCTGGTTCACGATCTCCCGTTAAGAGACCACTTTTGCTCCCCTGCTCTCTGCGGGGCCTGTGTGTCTTCTTCCGACAATATGAGTCACGCTAATGACAATTGACCCACTAACGCTCCCGATACAAAAACCTCATTTGCGCGATCGAATATTTAATTTAAAGAAAAAAATTAATGAACGAAAAAAATTAATTTTAATATTTTTTATATATTCTTATTTATTATTACCGTTTGATAAAGGACAATTAACGAGCGATCAAATTATTGCATTTTGGTTAAAGAACAAAAGAGAAAAGCAAAGAAGACAAAAGAACATAGAGAGATTCGTGCTTGAAAAAATCGTTCGATAAATTACTGACTCACGTGCGCGAATATAAAAAATACTCTGAATCACGTACCTCTTCCGCGCGTTCATCTCGCGCGGGACGCGGGACGAAAACGCGCATATCTAAACATGTCATTGATTTTGCATACTCACGAAGTGCGTGTTCGGCATTACGGTGTAATTCATAATTTATAAACTCTCGAACACACATAGCGTCGGTAATCGCGTTTGAGAATCCCTTATCTCTCTCCGCGCTTATTTAATTTTCCGCGCGTGACTGATGTATACCTCGTTCGAATGAAACGTCGTGTCCATCGTGTGTCGAATCGATATCATGTAATGGGACGTGCGTGTAAATCGTCGTGTTAAGGCGCCTCGAATCAGCATTAACGTTCGTGATTACGAGTTGTTTTAAGACTCCTAGCTGTGCGCGCTCTCTCTCTCTCTCTCTCGCTGATTTATTCCTCCTCGTACAAACGATCCGTTCTTCGCGCGCTCTCCAAGGAAATCCAGATGATGCATCGCGAATAACTCGAAACCCAACAGTGATGCTTCTCAGAGCGCATAATAAGCGCATTCGAGTTGAATGCCTTCGCGCTGTTTCATTCACTTGGTTTTTTTTTTTTTTTCCCAAGTTTCTTTTCCTCGAGAGAGAAAGAAAGAGATGAGTGTCACAAAAAGTTTTAAATTAAATATCAATGTTTTGCAAATGAATATCATTCTTACTCGCAATTATCATTTTTATTTATTATATTTACACAAAAATATTCTCAAAACGTGAATATTACTTTGCAATATGTTATGTTAAAATTAAAAGTAAAAATTTATTAAAAATTAATTATCTCTGTACGCACACATATTTGATATTTTATTGCAATTATAAAATTAATTTACACATTTACAAAATTAATTTCTAACATTTTGCGAGAATTTTTCGATATATTTTATCTAATTTATAAATAATATTTTATCAATCTTTTTTTTAAATATTATAAAGTGTGAAATGTATAAAGTTTTTGATTAATTTTTTGATTAATTACAATTTTATTGTGTCGAACATCGCGTTGTTTTGACTCGCAACAATATTTGTTTAGATGATTGAAGTTTTTTTGAAAGAAATCGTGTCTAAAAAGTGAAACGAAGAAAACGAATTAAAAAAAATGCATCGGTCTCGGTACGTAATTGCGCGAATAACTAACTTTTCGCGTAACCGTAGATATTCCATAATCTGCGAAATATTGATTTGTCCGATAGTATGCGGGTCTGCGCATTGACTTGCGTTTTCTGTCTCGCGTGTATCTCGGTATCTGCGAAGTGTGTTGTGTACGCCCGGTTTACGTAACTCCCACTATTGGATTTGAAAGTTGTCGAAGCTGGAACTCCCCGATAGCCATCGATATCGAACTCTAACAATGGGTCCCGCAATTGAATATAATCGCGCTCGCAAAAGGATTTCGAAACGCGCACGTTATTTGAAAACCGCACGCTTTCAACGAAACGCGCAACTTAATTGAGCCGGACATTAGCTTATAAATAATTGTTGACGATCACGCGATAGAAATTGCCTGACGATCTTAGAGTGGCTCGATAGTAGATTTTTATTATATTCGCGCGCTGTATAATAATATAAATTCTTTTCTTTTATACGTAAGAGAACATATAAGATCACATCTAATATACCCGCGCTGAAAGTACCCGAGACATATTTTAAATAAGAAAATGCAACATTATATAGCGTACGTTTTAATGATACTCTCTATCTACTCGCTATTTGCAAAAGTAAATGAAGTTTCGCGCAGCACAGCGGCATTCCAGATGGGAAAAAAAACCTTCTCGCGAGTCTAAAACAACCTTGCAATCATTACAACGGTTCGCACAAAGTTGTCTAACGCGGAGTCTCATTAGGACAATACGAACACCCGAGTTCCGTTTATATTCGTTTCTTCACGGATATTATATCCTTATCTCTCGCGAGCGTGTTCGGGGATAGAAATCGGATGCGGGGTTAGAAGCGTGTTGTGGTAGATAACGACTTTTCGAGAGAACGCAATTTCCACGGGAGACGAGAGCGCGTCTCCTTCCACACGGGATATGCGTCTCTGTCATCGTGCGCGGATTACGCACTTCCACACCGGAAGAGATAAGACCGGCGCGCGAACGATCGGTCGTAAGAATTATATTCCTCGCGCGAGTTGCTTGAATTATTTCTCCGCGACAATTAACGAGGCGCCGACCTACCCAACAGGATATCGAGTATCGTTTCTTTGGTCGCGCGGGTAGAGAAATCCGTACGCATACTGGGTGATTCCAAAATACGAAGTTGCGAGCTGCGGCGTAAATTGAATAAAATTGCGGGGAAATTGTTGTTCTCAACGAGAGAATTGGAACAGTTTGTTTTCGCAGTTTCTCCTAATTTTCTCAGCATCTCCAAACGTCTCTGAAGCCTTGAAAGTCTTCCTCAATAAAATCTGTTGAAAATTGAGTAGAAAAAAAAAATAAATAAATAATGCGAACTTGTTTATTTATTTTTGCATCTAAAACTTAATTAACTCGTAACAAATTTAAGTAATTGCGTATAAATTTTTAATACCTTTTTTTACATTTAAGACTAAATGTTTTTGTTACACCTACATGACTTGCATCGAATATTATAATTTCTAGATAAAGTTTTTTTTTTTAAAACGTTTCCATGTATGTTTCAAATGTTTTCTTCTCTAACTCGAGAGAATCGACGTGCGAATTTGAAAATCGACATGCCTGTTGCAAAAACGCCAGGTTATTCTTTGCTCGTGCGAAACATTTTTATCCGAAAATAGTTTATTTGTTGTGTTCCGACACAAGGCCAAACCCGCACGTCCATTCTTCTATTAGCTTCACTTGTTCGCATTTTATAGTCTCTCACTCAAAGCAAGATGATGCAATTACAGATGAATAGATTTGCGGAGAGATACGCCGCAAAACATAATCTCACTACATTCTTCAACATATAGCGGAATGAGAATTCTTTCTTGACATAGGATTTATGTACGTACGTGGTTGAATATAAATTAATCTTAAAAGGAAAAAAAAAAACGTTTTCGCGGATGTTACCGTTCGCAATACGTCGCAGTATATTGGTCGATTCGCGAGTACGCGCTCGCAGAAAACTGACGGAATTTTACGACGCAATAATAAAGAAATAATAATAATAATTAAAAAAAAAAAAAAAAAAACACATGTAAAACAAAGAATAATAAAAATTCTCTTGCAGGCCAAGCGGTGGCAATAACCGCGAGATATATTGCCCTCCTTATACAAAGGATTTCACTGAGAATTCTCCTAAAAGCGGTGTTCACGATATAGTCCATATGATACCAGAAAGAGATACGGATAGCGTGGCACCGACACCGACTCCGCAGCACCCACGTCACTCTCAACACCATCATCTCAGTTTACACGAACTTCGTGTACTTCAGGTCAGAAACATCTCACCTGTGTCTCGATAAATCTCTATTTCTCTCCCTATTAACAGTTCGTATTCCAAAGTGACACTTGAAAACTCAATGTGATTTGTAATAATTTTATTTAATTTTGAAACACGTTAAATACGTTATGTTTCTTTCTGAGAAAAATTAAGAAGTATGTAATAACATAAAATCTCAAATTTCTTCGTTTCTCGCTGGAAAAGAGTCGCTCGATTTTTGCAGAGGAGACCAGAATGCACTGGAAACAGCTCCTCCGATGAGAATCGCTCGTCCGGACACGCGAGCATGTCGGACACCGGGGGTCACACGAGCAGCAGTTCGCCGCCGCATCGTCATCACAGAGCTCACAGTCCTCAGCAATTGAACGCCGTACCTGAGGACGACCGACTCTCGGCGTCGGTCACCCAAAGAAACGGCAGAAGTCGATCCGGTCAGAATCGCAACCGACACAGGGCTACTCCTGCCAAGGTTCGAAGTTTTATAAATAAGTGTTAATCTCCGAAGTGAGCTGATACTTGATCCCAGTTTGTTTGTTCTTTCTTGTTCCAAATAGAAACAAAAACAATGGATAAATTAAAATTGTAATTACACGTACAATTAATAAAAGATAACTCATTTCGATTGCAGCTACAGGTACCATGGTCGGGTTCCGGTCTGGAGGACATAAAGTTGGCGATCCAGCAGTTGACAATGCGCTCGCACAAGTCCTCGTCCACGTATTCCTCACTGAGCGGCTCGGAGAGCTCGGAGCCAGCGGTTAGAAGACTGATGCGACATTCCAGCCTGGAGACGATCAACACCAACGTGACCAGTGCCGACGAGTTTGTCTGGGTGGATTCTCACAATCGGCTGGTGGAGCTGCAGCAACTGCCGTGGACTCATCACGATGTGCTGCGCGTGCTTCAGAACGGTCGTACAAGAGAACACATGGATCAGGTCTCGATGGAAACGATTCCGCGGCTTTCTTATTTGCTGCAACGCGCGCTAGTTCGAATTGGACGCGAGACTCAAAGACTGACGAAACCCGTAGGTCTTTGCAGTAAGCACGAGGTGTACAGCGCTTTCAAGATCGTGCTCTGTCCGGCATTGGCGGATTCTTGCACCAAGGTAATAAAACTTTGTTCGATCATAATGACAGATGTAACGATGTTGCTATATTGAACGCAAAGATTCTAACAATACATCTGATAATTGAAACTTTCAGATATTTTTAGAAATTTTATATATATATTTTAAATATATTTAACAATGTATCTAATTGCTAATATCTGATATATCTGATATCTTGTACTTAAAAAAAGGCTTGTCTTCGAGCTGCCGCAATGTTCGCGGTATCTGGCGATCAGCTGAAACAATCGAAAGCATCCCGTTCGGGGCTGCAATTGCCGGTCGGACGTTTCTTACGGTGGATGTCCGATGTGAGACTCGGGCGTATGATACACGAGTACGCCGCGATATATCTGACGGCCGGAATCGAGAATCTTCTGGAAGAGATACTGCTGCAGTGCGTGCCGACCGAGCCGCATACGATTCTCACGGCGACGATGTTGGAACACGCTATAGCCAACAGCGGTGACTTATGGGGCCTGCTGCAACCGTATGCGCATCTTAATGCCGGTCGGACAGCGTCAGGTTCATATTCTTTAAAACAAAATATTTTAAAAAACTTTTTGTAATATTTATCATATTTTTTGATTTGTTTAAATTTTATTCTATTTACTTGGTTAATTTTAATAAAACCGAGTCTGTGATTATTATTTAAAATAATGTGAAGAATTTCTTAGGCGCCCTCGCGATGCCTCGTTGGGCGAGTGTAAGTTCCTTGAACTCGTCATCGTCGTCACGTAGCGGACGGGATGCAGCTCAGTCAGCTCTGGAACCGTCGTTGCTTACAACGTGTGTGGGATCGATGTCAGAACTAATAGATTTGATCTCCAAGGTAGCACAGGCGGGACGTTGCCCGGTGCCATTGACAACGAGAGCGCTGCATGCTCTGTTTTATTACATGAGGTGTTCACAGGTATAGGAATTTTAGCATATCAAGTATTATTTTCTCAAAAGAACACAGCGGATTGATGTTTTTGCTTAATTGTACAACAATTACGTTATCTTATTATTGATCTAATGCACCGCTTAAGTTGGAACACGGTGAACGCGGATCCGGAATACAGGAATTGGCATATGAGAGAGCTTATGTTGTACTGCCGCCGTTAGTTGAATGGCTACGGGTGGCCGCAGCACACGCAGAACACAGACACGGCCTCGTCATGGATCAAGATGATATTAATCAAGCTGCTCGATTACTCTTACCTGGTGTAGATTGTCCTGTCCGTCCGATTAGGTGAATGAGATTGCTATTTTTTGATTTCTAGAATATATAATCGACTATTCTTTCTAAAAAGAGAAATTTGTTAATTCTAAGATTCTTAATTGCTAATATTCTATTTAGTTCCGAGGAAGTTACAATATGTTCGAAGCGCATCGACGACACCGAATACGTTCGGTTGTTGACGCTGGACATGGCTTTCAAGATGTTGACCAGTGGACGAGCGGATCTCATAGCTCAGGCAATGCCACTGTTGCCCTCGACAAAAATTAACACGGTAAACGACGCTGGTTTCACGGCTTTGATGTTGGCGTGCATCAACGGCGACGAGGTGGCCGTGACAGCGCTGCTCGACGCAGGAGCGGACTTGAACATCGAGAGTCCACAGCCCACAACAAATTCGTCGTCGAACACACCTTCCAAGATCCCGCAAACGTCCGGTGTATCGAACGGCAGAAGTCCGGTCAGTCAATCGGCAATGGTTACACCGAATAAAACGATATCGAGCGCGAACGTAGCAAACGCAACAACCGGTGGTTCCAACAATATCGCTGGAGCCGCACTCCCTGCGAGCGCGTATTGCGCGCAACCTGCTTTCAACGCGGAGACGCAACACTGGACCGCTTTGACTTACACGGCATTGTTGGGTCATTGCAACATCGCTAGAATATTGCTGGAAAGAGGTGCCGCGGTGGAAGGTGGCGCAAAACTAAGCGAAGATAAGTGCACGGTAACGCCGTTACAAGCAGCCACAGCGTCGGGCAACAACGAGATGGTGGCGCTGCTTTTAGCGCACGGAGCACAGCCGTTTCTCTCCACTCTGATCAAAGATTCATTTTCTTATTCGGGTTCCGCGCAGCGTGGTTGTTACAGGTATATTGATATTAATCAATTTAAAAAAATTTCTTTGGATTGATCAATTTTTTTCTAAATGAATAAAATCTAGTTCTTAATTTTATTATATTTAATAGCGCTATCTCTGTGGCTACGGCGCACGGTCAGAGAAGCTGTCTTCATCAGCTGCTGTCGCACCCGCTCAATTTTTCGGCTAAACGAGGAGAAAAAGAAATATTATCTCTAGAAGAGATATTAGCGGAAGGCAACGCAGGTACCAATTCTCAGCAGCAAACTGCCGAAGGAAGAGCTCGCAGAGAAGGCAAGGAGCCAGTATTTAATAAGATACAGACGAAGGCGCTGCAGGAAGCCATGTATCACAGTGCGGAAAGCAATCATTTAGGTAAACTTAATATTAATTTCGGATAACACAATATTATAATTTTGGGTTTATTATTAGTTTAAATTACGCCGTGTTATATTTCATGCGATTTAGATATTACCATGGAACTTCGTGGACTCAAAGTAGGTTGGACGTTGCATTGTTGGATGCACAGTTTAGCGACGGCGCACGAAATGCGATTGGATTCTATTATAGACCAATTGCTTCAAGATTTTCTGCAAGTCTGCTCAGACGATTACTCCGCGCAATTTGTGCAGGAATGTCTGCCACTTTTATTTAATATTTTTAGATATAGTAAGGTAAGATTTTTTGAGATAGAGAATATTATTTCGCGCGTGCAACTCTGTATTAAATGTCATTTTCGCAGAAGGAAGCCACAACGCTTTTGCTCGCTGATATTTTCGTGACGTGTTTCGGCTGGGAACCGATCAAGCCGATCAGAGACACCACACTTTCGAGCGGATCGCGAATCGATCCGAAATTTGTGAATAATCCTGAATTGAGCGATGTACAATTTCGTGTCGAAGGTCGTGTTTTTTACGGTCATAAGATAGTGTTGGTTACGTCTTCCCCGAGATTTAGGAACATGTTGAGCTCGAAACTATGCGAAGGCAATCCTCCTATTGTGCAGATTAACGACATAAGATATCACATATTCCAGGTTGTTACATTATTATTGTCTTTGTCTTTTAATAACAATCAGTAACAGTGTTATATCTAATAATAATTTTGATATACTAAAATATTCTAACTAATTTTAGATGGTAATGGAATTTCTTTATCACGGCGGTTGCGCTACTTTAGAAGTTAATCAAAGTGACGTCCTGGAATTAATGGCGGCAGCCAATTTTTTTCAACTCGATGGTCTGCTCAGATACTGCGAAGCGCAGTGTTCCACAATGGTTGATCTTGATAATATCGTTTCCATGTATATTCACGCAAAGGTATATTCTTGCAGCAACATAAATATTGTAGAAAAAGCAAACGCACTTTTAAATATCGCTTTATGTTTCAGGTATATAACGCGGCTCAGCTCTTGGAATACTGTCAAGGATTCCTGTTGCAAAATATGGTGGCTCTTCTGACATACGACGATTCGGTCAAACGTTTGTTGTTCGCGAAGAAATTACCGAATCACGATGTTCTTGCGGGTCTGTTGCTCACGCTACAGTCGCGGATAAAAGCCAGGCGATCTCAACAACAAAGCAAAATAAAAGTCTAAGTATACAGTTTTTTTTTTTTTTATAATTGGCAACAAACTTAAATTATCTTTAAATTGCAAAAAATAATAAAAAAAGTTTATGCGTTTTTTTCTTGTTATAAAAATATTGGGGAATTAAGTAAGTATACATTACTTATAATAATTACTCTAATAAAATATTAGAGTAAGTATAAAGCATTCACATTTTGCATTTATAATAGTTTTAAACGCGACGTAATTTGGAATTGTCAATTATGCGCGTATACACATGACGTGTGTGTATTAAGTTTCGTACTATTATTATATGTATAAACATATGTATGCGAATGTATACAACATATCATACATATTTATAAAGATAACAATAGGTTTTTTTACAAAATCTTTGATAAAGTATTTCTGTAAATACTTATATATAAGAGTGTTTTAAAAAAAATTTGGAAATTATTTTAAAAATTTTTATACAAATATATATCGCTTTATATATTATATGAAGATCATCACTTTTATCAGTGTGAATAAACTTTCTAACGATAGAAAGTCCAATCACATTCATATGTATATAGTTTTATCACACAAGAGCTCTCTTTATCATAATAAAGAAGTTTTGTTTTAGGTATTATATTTCTTTTTTTTTTTACTAGCAATTTTTAAAATCCGACAATGGATTAATAAACTGTGTTTTATACGTCATAGACACTTTTTATATATATATATTTTTATGTTTTCTTGTGCTATACTCGTAATCATATGAATACAGGATATAAAAAAAGTTTTTATTTGCAAAGAACAAAACATATAATTTAATGTCTAATATTAATTTAGCACATACAAATCAACAACGACATAATAAAGCTATTATACCTGACATTAAGCGCAAGTATCAATATCAATATCATAGCACTATTTATTTAAATGATGTTAATGTGTGTGTTTGATTAGTTGTATATACAATAAGTATTCAGAGTATAACCTTAATAATTAATATGTTGGATGTTTGGGATCTCTGGAATGTCTAATAATCATGTTCAAGAATCGAGTAATAGCAGTAAAATGGCTGTCTCAATCAGATAAATTTTTCATGTCTTTTCGCGCGTACATGTTTCAATATGCGATCTTAAATACGGACGATACTCATCACATAAATTATAATTTATAAAATAAGCATGAGATTAAGATTAAGAAAACAAAAAAAAAAAAAGAAAAAAAAAAGAACAACGTAGACATTAATTGAATCAAACGCACAAAAATTTCAACATATACATTACGCATATGTTTTTTTGTCTTAATGAAGATTCTTTTTTGCATAGAAGTATCGTATAATCGATACAATTTGCAGGATGATCGTTATTTGTAAAAAAAATTCGGTTACTTGAACTATTAAGATAATAGGAAATATACAATTAAGCATTAAATATGAAAAACACAACAATAAAAATATTTAATGCATATATAAAAATATATATTTGAAATAACATGGTAATTAAGCGAATGCATAATTGCAATTTTTATGCATTAACCAAGTCAATTGATATATACTTGCTATAGACAAATTTTGTTAACTAATACTTTGTTTAGTTCGTTACATACCAATTATGTGCCACTTTTTATCCGTTACATCTATTTATCTCACATGGTTTCAATTGCGAGAGACAGGATTTTGATAATAATTGATTAAAATCAATTTTAGATCTCACACTCATATTAATTGCTATAGTTCGTTTTAAAATCATATTTCAATGATGAATAAATTTTTATCAAAATCCTTTGCAGTCAAAAAATATTTCTTGTCACTGATGAGGCAATTTGCACTTTAGAGCACTGGCACTAGCCTTTTTCTTTTTCCATGTTTTTTTCGTTTTTCCATTTCTTAAATATAAAAAAATGAAAATGACTTTCTCAAAAGTCATAAGCTACATTTATTGTTAGATTAGCGCAATTTATTATGTCACTTTTCTATGTGTTTTACCAATAATACAAAGTGATTCCAAATAATGCGCATCTAATAATGCTTATCAAGAATAAATTGATAAGAAACGAAAAAAGAACAGAAAATATGACCACGCCAAAGCTAGTGCTCTAAAGTACATAATTATACCGCATCTGAATTTGACCACGCAGTTTTACATTATATACCATAAAGTATTAAGCAAGTTATAATTAGAAAAATCACGTATATTATATAAATAATAATAATAATATAATAATAATATAATAATAATAATAATAATAATAATAATAATAATAATATATAATATTGAAGCTTTTTTTTCACTGATTGCTAAGTTAAGCTACCGATATATAAAAAAAAAAAACATAATACAAATATATACTGAAGATAAAGATGGCATTTTACTCTCATGCAGATTCAGATTTATACGTGAGACACATTTCTCTGTCCGTTAACAAATCTTGTATACAGACAAAACTTTAAATAAAAAAATGGTAAGTTTTTCACACACATTAAATCTAGATAGAATTTACTAAAAAAAAAAAAGCAACATTATTTCCAATCAGTCAACTTAATACATGTTGATGGTATCAACAATATTTTGAATTAAATGGAAAATAATCAATTTCCATTTAAATTTATTAACACAGTATTCTATGTCACTATGCAATCTATTATGTTATTGCAATCGAAGTATTCAATAATAATTGTTTTCATATGGACTGTGTTAACAGCATTTTCAACTGATTGAATAGATTATTAGGAAATTATTGGAAGATTGTAAAACTGAAATAAGTGTATAATTAAATTAATTAGCGATATATATTATAATAAAATATAAATGTAATATACAGGATGTCCCAGAATTGGTTTAACATCTCTCGTAGACAGGTAGAAGGAATAAAACTGAGGTGAAAAGTCCTATACCATTTTGCTAGATTCGCAATAGTTACCGAGATTTTAATTAACAAAGATCTGCGAATAAGCGTGCATCGGGCTGTCTTACGCGCGTAGGACAGCCCGGCGCGCTTCGCACAATTACATTTTAATATGTATATGTTATAGTATATGCTGTTATATTAGCTCCTCCCATATGTCGCTATGGATAACACCGTTAGCGCGCGAAGCGCACTGGTCTGTCTTACGCGCGTAAGACAGCCTGATGCATACTTATTCGCGGATCTTTGTTAATTAAAATTTCAGTAACTATTGCGAATCTAGCAAAATGGTATAGGACTTTTCACCTCAGTTTTATTCCTTCTATCTGTCTACGAGAGATGTTAAACCAATTCTGGGACACCCTGTATATTCGGAGAAATGATATAATATATAATTTACGATGAAGTGATATAATTTACGATGTAGATTAAAAGTTGAATGTCCTTTATTCGCTCTAATTTTTTTCCTTAATAATCAATCAATCAGAGTGAAAATAAGCAATTTAAAAAAAATCTATAAAACTTTTATACCGTATAAGCAAAATTATTATAAATACTGCTTTATAAAATTTCAAAAAACTGGCTATACTCTCCGAACACAAGAGATATTAATTCATTTCACAAGGATATATAAAATAAGTCTGTATACTCTCCTTACATCTTCAATATACAAAACCATACTAAACACGATGAGAACTTTGAAGAAGTTAATTTTAAATCAATGTATAACGCACGAGATAAAGATTGAGACAACCCGTTTTACTCATCAGTTTTACCCACAAAGGCTAGGGACGCTAACTTAATTTAATGACTAGAATAACAGTTAATACAATGGCAACTATAATCGCGAGCAACAACAAAATGTAAACTTTCCGACGAAATTTACTTTGGTAATTACTTCCCTTCACTATCTCTTGGGCTCCCAGCTCAACGTTGTCATGAATATTCTCTATATGGTTGTCAATTGTATCTGTATAGAAAGTCATTAGGTTTGCAAATTGAGTATACACACATATAAATTTTTTTTAAAATACTTTAAAAAAATAATTATCACTAATATAGTAAAAAGAAAAAGATGCTCACCAATAGTATCACCTTGCTGATGCACCAATGCTGCGAGTTCGCGCATAATTTGATTCACATCCAAAATGTCGCCCTCGATTCGCTTTATCCTGTCCTCCCTTTCCAGAAGAAGCCCTTGCTGAAACTCTAGCGTTCTGTGAAAGTCACGATACGCAATATATATATCACACGCTTCTGATATAATTGATTTTATTTTGCATCAAGATGCATTATAGAACTGACTTACCACACGCACATAAGTGTATTTTATAGCTTCTCTATTAATAATACATGTTGTGTAATTAATTAATCTTTTCGACTGAAACTTTTTATTATATTATTCAGTCTAGTTCGATATGCTATAAAATCCACAATCTGTATTACCGTCTCTCATTCAGAAAATCTTACATTCCATTAGCTGAGATACAATCACGATAGCTTCTATGTTTACAGCATTGTCCGATATGCAAGTAACGGAAACCATCGGTATTGTCCCAACTAAGCAAATAGGTAAGATTCTCCGCGTTACTCATACAAATGTACAGATATTTTATAATTCGATGAAAAAATGCAGACAATATATTATTTTTAAACCTTTGAGTAGTTCTGTGTTCCTGTTCTTGGGCATGTAGCAAACGCTGGGTTTCTTCAGCATCCTCATCATCCATTGAATTGTCTATATTAGTCATAGCTAAAATATGTCTCTTCATTTTTTCCGCGATTGACTGAAAAAAAAAAAAATATCTCGCTAGTGGAAAAATGTCAAGCAACTTTATCTCGCAAAACTTTTACAATACGTATAGATGTGTGTACTTTTTGCATATCGGAGTATCTCTGCAACGCATCTTTAAAGTCAGTCGTTAGTTTCTCGATTTGTAACTTTTGCTGCTTGTCTCCACGCCTCATCAACACTGTCAGTCTTGCTATGTCCTTGCTTGTCTGAGTAACCACTTGATTGGTGCTTAATTGTGTTACATGTCTGAAAGATACAAAAAAATATTAGTATCAGTAAAAAAAACATTTATAGTTGTAATATTTTTCTAATCTTATGTTTATATCTTTGTATAATATCATGCTACAAAGCAATTATTTTTTTTATTAGTATCTTTTTTGTTAGAATGTTCTAGATCTGTTTGTTTTTTCTTGACTGTATATTATTGTTTTTTTTTTTTTTCTACTATTCTTACTAGCACTTACACTTTATCTCTTAAGCCTTGATTATCCTTACTGGTTCCGATATTTTTGTAAGCTCTGTCCAGGGTTTTCCAACTTGTATTAATGGTATATATGTTAGTGGTAATATTCTCACTGAGGCTATAAAGTTCAGTAGGACTAAATCCTATTTCAGGTACATCCACCCGCTGATCCGTAGATCCGTAGCTTTGAGGGCGCTGAGCCATTCTGAACAGATACAAATTTTGGCGTAGTATTATTACTGTTTAACTTTAAAATCTCACACACATATACGCGAAGTGACATAATACGGTTACATTATTTCTGTCGAGCAAGAAAAAAATTTATAAAACTCAAATATTCTTTTTAGTAAAATTTTTTATCTACATATTTTTGTGATAATTATTAACGGTCTACAATCAATAATCGTTGCTATTTGTTTCTATCGCGAGAAATGCGCGATAATTGCGTGAAAAGAGTTCGAAACGAGTCCGAGGACAAAAGAAGAAATGGACATTATCGTTGCTAAGTCATCGTTGGATTTTTCACTGAACGAAGAATATGCGAGCGCTTACGCGGGCAATTTCGGCTTTGTTATCATGGTGCGAAATTCAGGAGATACTTATCGCACGATGACACACGCGAGAAATTTGCGGTAATTCGGACTAATTACGAAGGACGAACGTTCGTTCGCGAGGGTTAAATTAGCGAGCGCGAGAACAAAGACGGGACGCGTGCGAGACGAGAGATCGGATGATCGGCGTTTACCAACCTGAGTGCGTTTTTTTATTTTTTTTTTTTTATCACAGGTATCCTTATATATATAGAAATATAAATCGCCCCGTAAGAATCACATTTAAACAAACGCACAAAAAATATCCTTTCGGAGCAGCAAATTTCCTCTCGGAAACTGACAGTTAGCCCCGACCAATCTAACGCAACGGCCGTGTGACAACAGACCCTTTGTACTCCCGTCCGTGTCCCCGACGACAGAGAGAAATCTGATTTACCGACGTGCCGCAGTTTTTTTTTTTTTTGTCGTGTTTCAATTACCAACACGCCCAACGTAACCCTCGTCTGCATTTCGATCAAATTTGCGCGAAAAGACGCGGAATGTCTCGGCAAAACGAATTTTCGGCTCTCTGTTCATCAGACCGTCGCTTTTCTACATTTGATTTCTCTCCATTGGGCGGATTGGATTTGATTCGATTTCTGCCTATGGAAATTAACACGCGCACCACCGGCGTCAAGTTGAGGTGCGCGAGCAATTTCCTGTCGCAAATTCATTATTCAATTGGAAAAACAATAAAATCTTCGACAAAAATTACTTTTCGAAAATTCCACGAGCAATTCGCTTGTGCAAACGCGAAGCATTTTTGGTTGAACAGATTCGAACAATAATCGAAATGGGGAAATGCCATTTTCGCTAACTCATGTGGAAATGTCTAATGTACCGTCCGATGTATCATCACCGTCGAGATCAAAAGAAAATCTAACTCGGACTCAATTTCGTCGGGTTCTCGTCGCGTTTTGCTCGCGTAATTTCGTGAAAAAAATATTTCGGTATTTTTCAAATAACGATTGGCGCAACGATCGCTCGCCGTGCGCCATGTGTTCAGTCGGACGGTGGATGCTGACTTGATCGGACGTGTTCTCACGGAAGTTCCCGAGCGCGACCGACAGATTGCGAAAGCCTTCAGAAACAACAACCGTCGGCCGTAAGTAAACGCTATTGTGATCTCTCTTGGCTTTGCACGTCGATTTATCGTGTGTGGAGTGGCGTGGGTGCGACAAAAACGCGTGCGGGACGATCGCGCGTGGGTGCGTTTTTCCGCGGCGAAGATCGCGATCGGCCGCGCGACACGCGGCACGCGGATCGGCGAAGAATTTTCTGGACGGTCTTCGGCGGCGGCGGCGGCGGCAGCGGCGGCGGCCCCGAGACCCCGAGCGGGTACGTAGGTCGTGCGTCATGTCGGATGTGAAAAGAATTTAATCTGTCGCCGGGCCTCCGCCCGTTTTCTCATCGAGATCTCGACTCGATTTTTTCACCGCGCGATCGGTGAGAAAGCCGTTCGAGCGTTCCGTGAATTTCGCCGTTTCTCATACCCACGCAACTCCCACATTTGACACTTTGCCTGGCTTAAGTAACGCGACTCGCTTGGGTGGTTCGGCTGTCGAGAAGGCTCTCCGAGGAGCTTCCGCTTGGATATTAAGCACGTTGCGGTTGGAACGTGGTTTTTTTTTTTTTTCCTACCACGAGGATGGGAAATTTATTAAATCCAGGGCGTATTCCTTTGTATGAATTCACGCGAACGCTTTTGTCGTGGGTTTTTTTCACAGCGTGAGTTGAGAGCATGAGAGAGATAGAGAAAGAGGGGGGAGGTCTCTCTTTCTCTCTCTCGTGCTTCGACGAATTCCGGAATTAGTACGTGCCTTCGACGCACCACGCTTCTTCTCGAAGACATTTGCTTGCTCCCGACCCGCGAGTATGTGTTATATACCTCCGAGCGCTTTCCTCGTGCACAAAACGCACGTTCCCGTTAGATATATTTCACTTCAACGTGGAACAAAGTTTTTTTCCACGCGTTTTTCTGAAAATTTGTTTATTATCTCCGGTTTCCCGGGAAAAATCTACATCGGGGGAACACGTTATTTCTCGACAGCCCNCCCCCCCCCCCGTCTTTCCCTTTGGCGGAGATGCATTTTATATTTTAGCATTTTTGTCCCCAGAGTACTGACCGCAATCGTGAACCAGTAACGACGCGGAGTAACTTTCTGTAAAGCTCTTTCGTTTGTTCGCGATACGAATATTTGAACAGATAGAAAAAGAAAAGAAATACTTTGACTTGTTTTTTTTTTTTTTTTTTTTTTTTTTTTTATCTAATACACATATGACAATACATATACACATACCAGACGTCTATACGACTACATGTCAATATTGGAACTTTATTCGTAAATCTTGAGATTTTCTAAAGGGAGCAGAGAAATAACCAGATACACGCGGAGCAACTCCAAATTTTCGGAGCACATGCCGCGCAACGAAGGTTTATTACAAGCGCATTTTGTTTGCCGTCAGTATTCTCGGGGATTAAATCGCTTTAAGCTCAGAACTAGTTTTTTTTTTTTTATTAAAAAAAAAATTTTTTTAAATATGTATCGTGCGATACTCGTATATCTCTCGATGGAATCCTTTAATCCGGAATGGTGTTTCTCCTAGCTACATTCAAATTGAAAACCGAGGCTAGATTTTATCTCTGTGCAAAAACGCGACAAGAAAGTAAATAGATCAATAAAATCCGGATTATCCATTTGTGCGCGTTCTAGCTGGGTATTTTCAAATGTAACAACGGACGAGAGGATCGCACGATACACGGAAGAAGAGCATCGGGGAGATTTTATTTGCTCCAGAGATTTATAAATTAATTCGATCGATGTTTCTCTCTCTTTCTGTTTTTTTTTTTGTTTTTTTTTTCTGCCGACCGCGATCTCGAAAAGCGAAAGAGAGGATTTTTCGTGAGCCTCGTGTAATATGGCGAGGAGGTCGGCGAGGAGCGCGCTCGTCGACAACGGGGGAGACGCGAGCGCGCGGGGAATTCTCGCCATTACGCGTGAGGGCCACACGCGTGCTTCCTGCGTGACTACGAGAAGAGAGAGACAGAGAGACTGTATGTGTGTGTGTGCGTGTGCGTGTGTGTTCGCGTCGTTGCTCTTTCCGGAAGTGCCGCTTTTGTTCTCGGAAATGCAACGGGGCACTCCCACACACGTTGTGAGCAACAACGCGGGAGCACGCGTGCAACTTGGTCGGATCGATTGGGCTTGCCGCGGAGCACATGCACACCACGACCGACCGACTTTGTGTAAGCACAAACTCGAAGGCGACAGACGTGTGCCGCCGCCGTCGCGCTGTCACGCTTCTGACGTTTCAGCGAAGCTTCGACCGAATAGGGTTCTCTTTTTTTCTCTTTCTCTCTCTCTCGTTCGCCGATAGATTCTCGACTATAAGAGTCGTCCGCATGCTCTTTTTAGATATTTCAGTATGTGACGTATATATGTGAGAATCTCTCGTGTATACATAATGAGACGCGTTAGAAATATACTTCGTTGTACCACTCCTTGGCATGTGCGTTTGTTGTTGTTGCCGTTGTGTCGTTGCTGCAGAGAGTTCGCGTAATTTATTAATCGATCGGAGTTTTATTTTTATTATAGCGGCGCGGGCTATTTTGTTTGCGCGAGTCTAATCTTAGAATTTAATATTATAGTGTCTCTCTTAGCACAGACAGGGGTTCAAAAAGTTCATAAAAAAAAAAAAAAAGCGTATAACAGGAATTTCGAATGTGAATCGAAAGGTAAACTTTTTAAGGTTCGTCGCGAATTTGTGTTTCGCGAGGGAAGATTGACGCGTTGCGAGAAAAAATTCTGATTCGCGATGAAAATTACTACGCGCGTTCGACCGGCGGGGGGGTATTCGAGGAATGTTGGGGGCGCGAAACACCTGGTTGAAAAACCCGTTCCGTTTCATTAACGTGGGCCTCGTGTGCGCGATTGTGAACCGTCGCTTGCGAGAAGTGCATCGCTTATATACTATATGTACTCTTCTCTCTCTCTCTACCGTGCCTTTAAACGGTCATGCAGCGCCCAACACAACATGTGCGACTGTGTGTATAGCTCGCGATCGGGTCTCTTTGTTTGCAGCGGACTTCAAAACGCTTATCGCGCACTATGAATAGACGTGCTGATTTTCTTTCAGCCGTTCGTCCCACTGAGCGCAGTTCAGTTCTACATTTGCGTTACGCCGCGCATCAATGAACAAACGACGTTTCGCAATCTCGAATTCTTTTCCCGACGTCTCTTTTCCCGTCATCTGGACATCTCTCTCTCTCTCTCTCTCTCTCTTTCTCTCGACATCTTTGTGTCAGTATTTACACGATTTATAACGTCACGTGCACGTTCTGCAATTATTGTCCATATTCCGCAAATATTGTCTCATTATTGATTTTCGTATCCCCTTACTTCATCCTCCAAAAGCCTTGGAAAATGTAGAAAATGTTTTGGTTTTTGTCAATTCTCCACACATAGCTGAATTTCTCTTTCTTCTTTTCTTTATCTTCTCAGGCATTGTACTAAAAATGCTGTAAATCACCCGAAAACCGTAAAAACCTTGACATCTCTCCGACTTCTTCTTCTGTCTGGCTGTGTTTTTACAGCATTGCCAACGTATATTTCGGATGACTCAACTCTCTCGAGTATTCTTGATGTTCACACACAGTGAAAGATAAAGATTCTTATCGAACGTTATCGTGATTTTTTATGTTCGTCTACTCGACCAGCCACTTATATAAATTTTACGTGACTCATTGTGCGTTTCGTCATTCATCTTATAAATTTTTCGCAAAACGGCGAAACAATTCTGCTGCACGTCTTCTCACTTTATCTAGACGATTGCTTCCTAAAGTCATTAAGAAGCATATTGCGCTCGTCATTTTCTTTTTTTTTTTTGTTGTCTCTACTCCCGAGAGAGTTGCGCCGTCGACAAATTTGTTATTTATCTACTCGTTAAGTTTCGTAGACGAGTTACTTTAGCAATTCACTCTGTTGTCGGTAAGTTGGAGTGGAAGAATAAATTATTAAAATAATTAGCTAGCTTGTGCTTTTTATTCAAGAGCTTCCAACCGAGTCAACGAGCCGCAAACTCCGTAACTCTCTTATCTCTCTTCGCCTTTATTATCTTTTCTTGAAATATATATATAAAAAAAAAAAAAAAACTAAGCTCTTATCGTGCGATACATCTCTCGTCTAATGCAAATCTTGAAGTCGCGCGATACCAAAAATGCGTAGATTAATAATTACTTTTCGTCATCTTGTGAATTTATTTATTTTGTACATTTAAAGTTTTCAAATCAATCTTTGTCGCGTGATCGCAGTTGCGATTGCAACAAAAGGATTTGCACGACTCTCATTTACTCGTGTTTACATTTACAACGTGTTTGATATAATTTTACCGCAAGCGAAAGAAGTTCGCTTTCTTTCACTTTCTTCCGGCGTCTTCTTGGTTTACAAACGTTTATGTGCAATATTGTTTCTTTTCTTTATATTTCGCATACACATGCGAGAGGAAAAAAAGTGTGACAAATTTTGACATCGGGCTTGCTTCTTTGTTGAGACCTTCTATGGATTCGGTCTTAGAAGATTGGCAGCCCTGAACCATTCTTGAACATGAAGAGAGCAGCCGTCACGGCGCATCAGTGACGTGTCACGAGGAAACAGAAAGTTATGGTGTGCTCGCAGCGCGGCGGACGGGAGCGAAAGAGAAAGAGAGAGAGAGACAGACAGACAGACAGACAGAAAGAGAGAGAGAGAGAAAAAGAGAGAGAGAGAGAGAGAGGGCGGAGCTCGCGGGGAGAGATGTGAGGGAAGTTCGCTCGCTTGTGTTCACTTTGCGTCACTTCGTCGCTATCTCTTTTGTGCGCCGTCGTCATCCACCTTGTGCTCGACGATTTCTCTCAAGGATTTTGTCGGCGTCATATCGACGACCGATAGCGCATAAAGCAACGCGCAGAGAAAAAAAAAAACCGGTCGTGAAAGATCTAGCGCACGCACACATAGGTCGTAAACGCGTTGTTTCTCGACAAACCCATAAAAAAAAACCACAAGCAACGTTGTAAGTCATCTCTTTTCACGTGGAGCAATTTTATCAATTATTCACAAACGCGCGCAATCTGCGGATTGATTAAACTCCGCGTGTGTTTGTGTGTGTGTGTGTGTGCATTGCGCTTGGTTAATTTTTACTTATCGTTCGAACTTGATTTTTAAGTTAAATTTATGCCGAACTTAACGTCAATTGTTGTTTATTTATTTATTATTATTCGAAAAGAATTTCTATTTCTCCGCGAACATTAACGTAGAAAAATTTAGTTTATTTCGTACATTTTATTTTTATTTTTCTGATGTGTAAATGATTTTCGTTATATTTATATTTCGTATACACACATTTGCCAGCGGAGCTGAATTGGCGTTCGATTTTAATTTAGTATAATATATTATTGCTACTTTATTGCGTGCGAGGGATCTTGATGCGAATTTAGATTAGCGAGAGAAGGAGAGAAGAGCGTGTCGCAATTCACAGCGCAAGCTGAGATTTCCCGGAAACGGGAAATCTTGCATTTGCGAAATTACCGAGCGATTGTTCGTGGCGCAAAAATATCACATGACGTGAATGACGTTTCAATGTAAATCGCAATGTAAACGTTTTTTTCCCGCTCCGTTTTGCCTCTTCCAAAGTTTCATCCTCACTTTTTTTTTTCATCTAAAGATAGTACATAAACCGACGCGAAACTGACTTCGATTGCGGTCAAACTGATTAAAAAAACAAGCGGTCGATGCGAATCTCGAACGCCACCTCAAGGATGTTACACGCGCGAAATCTTTTTTCGGATCTCGCAGAGAGATAGCTAAATAACGGGAATCCAACGCGCCCGCAAGATGGCTGTAGATATAAGCTCGAAAATAGTATTTGCCAAGAAAACGAGAAGAAGCCTTCTTGATGTGATGTGTGATGCGCGCGAGAGACAAAGGCCATCTTTGATGTAAGCGCGCGCGCACACACACACACACACACACACACGCTTCTCTTTCTCTCACCGCACGCGGACACGATCGACTCTTTTATTATTTAATTATCTCTCGCGAAATTCCGACACGTGTTGTGCGCGTTCGTGCATAATCGTGACCTCGCGAATCGCAAAGCGTGATATTTTCATTGATTTTTGCTGCGTAAAAAAGTTTTCTTTTCTTCTCGCGAAGAAACCGCCAGCCACGCGGTTTCTTTTAACGCCGTCGTGATTTTAATGCGCACGGCGCTTTGAACGACGACGACGCCGAGACACATGTGACGCGACGTGTGTGTATCTTCAAATGCAAATTTTTTTTTTGCAAAATGTTTATTTCAATAGACGCCAAATAGAAAGAGTCACGTATCGATTTTGAAGCGCGATCCTATAGATTGCGAATGGTGTACGTCTTTTATATATATATATGAATAAAATCCTCGTATATATCGGATACACAGAAACATCTTCCGCGTATCACGCGACGAGTACGTGATATCGCGAATACGTGTCTTGGGTTTGCATACACGGACTTGTCGTTTTGAACTTTGTGAAGTTCGGTAACTCTATTCTCGCAGCTACATAAAGCAACGCTTCCTTCTCTCTCTCTCTTTCTCTCTCGCGTCGTATCTTTATTTAAATTAAATACGATATTCTTTCGAATCCACGTGTTTCAGAGAGACTTCGTTGCTTCGATAGACAAATCTTGGATTAATTCCTTTTTTTTTTCTCTCTCTCTCTTTTTCTCTTCTTTCTTTTTCTCGTTCGCTCGCTCGCTCGTTCGTTTGCAATATCACGAGCTTCGAGCTGGTTCGTTCATGGATACGTCCGTGAGAGACCGGATATTTTCATTGCGCATTTAGCGGCTATATACGTTCGTCAAGATGAAACCAAATGTTTAGAGACTGCTATTTCAGTAAAACCTAGCGTTACGTTCTCATTATATATTTAACGCTAAACGCAGTCGTGGTTTTTTTTTCTATCCGCAACGTAAAATGCCGCGAGCCAAGTTAAGCTTACGTCAAATTGCACGTGACGATCCTCACGACGTAATAAAAAACGTCAATCAACCAAAATTGTTGCAAGAAAAACTTGAAAAAGTTCAGTTTAGATATAAAATATCTTTTTAAAACCAAGTGATTGTGTTTTTAATTTCTTACGCGGTGTTTGTTCTTTCTAACAGTAGTTTTTTGTAGGTCTTATTATCATAGGCTTGCTGTTTCTATGACGATTGAAACTCTTTGTTATTTTTCTTTCTCGATTTTGCGAGGACGATTCCGCGAGTCGTCTATTTCAGAAAGTTTTGTTCCTTCAAAAGTAACTCGAGACGGTCGAGACACCCTGTAGAGAGACGGCCGGACGGGCACGACCTCCGTTGAGCGAACCGACGAAGTCGTCCGACCTCGGCCGAACGACGACGAGGTTCGCGAGATGATCGGTTGAGGTGGAATGGGGAGAGGGGTTGGAAGAGGGTTCATTGACCGTCTGACCATGAGCCGCGCCCCACATACACTCCTCTGCCACATTCCCCTCTCGTCCATGGGTTTCGGTCGTTTTGTTCTCAGGCAGCGAGCAAGATCAAAGCCGTCTTCCTCTCGCGGGGAAGAAGGTCCTTGCCTCGTCCGCGGAAGGTCTTCTGCGACTACGGGGTGTCGCGAAAAACCACCGGATACTGTCGCTTCGACTTCGCAAATAACATGTTCGTTCGCAGCTGGTCTTTCGCGGAGTCTTTCCACAGCGGAAACAAAAAAAAAAAAAAAAAGTCAGAGAGAGAGGCCATCACTTTCTGTAATCTGACTTGCGGTTTCGATTCGGGGTAAAAAAAACGCGGAGTTTCAAAACTTCGGCAGTTGATCGCATCGCGCGCGAAATGTTGTGATCGCGCGTCGATTGATTCATGAAACTAGACCCGTTCGCAGCATGATTCTATCCTTGAACCACTTGCGACTCGAGTACGTTAACCGTGCAGGATTCGCGTGCGCCATTTATTGAACGTGCTTCTCTCTAAAATTGCGCTCGCATGTGCAATTACCATTTGTAAACGATATATGTGGGTCACGGTGGCGATGAAAGGAATGTCCTCGAAATATTATTGAACGAGTTCAACGATACGCCACCGTGATCGGCCAAAGCGATAGGTCGGAATTGCTTATCTTTCTTGTTAAAAAGAAAAATGCAGATCAGGATTGTTGCATGTTTTTTTTTTTTTTTAGTTTTACGTTAGACTTGTGCGTTGCGCGCTTTAAGCAGGCTGATTCGTAGACGCTTTATTTCTTTCAACGCGTGCAAAGCCTAAAAAATATCCTAAAAATCGTGAGAATTATTTATGAGAATTATTTAATTTATTAAGATTTAGTGTTATTCTTTTCAGCTTCCTCAAGGAAGATCTGTGTGCTGTGATTTATCACTAAGGGGGCCAAAACACGCGCAACAACGGACAACCCCACAGGACCGGGGGGTGCTTCTCGTGTCTCGGGAGGAAGGTCAGGATCCACAAAGTTATCTCAGCAGAGTAACGAAAAAAAAAACAAAAACAAACAAACAAAAACAAAAAACAAAGACAATACAAAACGCGTGAACGCGTTATATGTGTTTAGAACCTACACAAATCAAATTTTTGTGTTGAGTTGTTTGTGACACTGACATTATAAAAATTCGATGCCTTCCAGGGACGATATTCGCTCCCTATCCACTGAGCAACGCTGGATCCCTCCTTCAACTGTTAGACGCGATGCACTCACCCCAGAAAGTCGAAATGATCTCATCTTCAGAAAGGTGCGGGGTATACTTAACAAGCTCACACCGGAAAAATTCGCAAAGCTGAGCAACGACCTGCTCAACGTTGAGCTTAATTCCCATGTGATTCTCAAGGGTGTTATTTTCTTGGTATGTATTTTTATTAGAGATCGCAAAATGTGAGAGCGTATTGTTTTCTTTGTAAAATTACTGATGGTGTAATAATTGGATAAAAAAATGTTGATTTATTAGATCTTCGAAAAAGCACTTGATGAACCCAAGTACAGTTCTATGTACGCACGGCTGTGCAAACAGCTGTCAGACGAAGCCGCAAACTTTGAACCCCGTAAAACGATCGATGAAAGTCAAAAAGGCCAGAGCACATTCAGAGTTCTTTTACTTAACAAGTGCAAAGACGAGTTCGAAAATCGTTCAAAAGCAAGCGAGGCATTCGAGAATCAGGATGAGCTTGGTCCAGAGGAAGAAGAGCGCCGGCAGGTGGCCAAGCGCAAGATGCTTGGTAACATCAAATTTATTGGGGAACTCGGTAAGCTGGGCATCGTGTCGGAGCCGATTTTACATCGTTGCATCCAGCAGTTGTTGGAGAAGAAAAGGCGAGGGGGATCCCGGGGGGACGCGGCAGAGGATATCGAGTGTCTCTGCCAGATTATGCGTACCTGCGGCCGTATCCTTGACTCGGATAAGGGCCGCGGACTCATGGATCAGTACTTCAAACGTATGAACTCTCTGGCAGAGAGCAGTGATCTTCCTCTACGCATCAAATTCATGCTGCGTGATGTAATTGAATTACGCCGTGATGATTGGAAACCGCGCAAGGCCACCAGTACCGAAGGCCCGATGCCGATAAATCAGATTCGCAATGACAATGAGGAGCCATCGCGAGGAAACGGTTTCCACAGAGGACGCGAAGATCGCCTCGGTGCTGAGTTTTTACGAAAGATGGGACGAGGCGGATTAGACGTGGACATGATGGGAAGTATTCCATTGACTTCCCCCTCGTTTGGTATGCCACCACCACCATTCAGTCCGAATGGATTCGCAGGAACTCCTGGAGTTGGCTATGGCCGCCATAACCAACGCAATCAGACAGGAGCGAGCTATTATCAAACCCAGAATCGTCATCAGAACAATTACGAAGGCAAACGCAACCAACCGCAACACAATTTACCGCAGAACTTCAACAACAGTGAGTATCGCAATCTTTTTCGTTATTAACTCTTTATAAAGTAACAATGTTAATGACTATAACTGGATGTTTGTTACTTTTATCTATTACAGATAGCAATAAAGAACAACTTCGATTTAATAAGAACAAAATGCTGATTGGAGGACATCCAGAAGAAGTGTCTCTGAGACCTTCAGCCAATTCCATGATGTTCAAACAAACTAACATCAACATGAACTTACCTCTGAACAATGGTAAATATTTTTATCTGATTGCGCGATATCTTGTGATAGTATTAAACTGATTGGTGTATCTAATAATAACTATTAATTGAAAATATAATAGACTTGTTCCCAGGGAGAGGCTCCGACTTGCCCCTCTTGCGTACTACTGCTCTAAAACCCAGCTCGCCACTATTGCACAAAGAAACACCGCCTGCTATTGTGATCAAGCAAGGTCCCGTAGACAAACGGGAAAAAGCTCGGGATAGAAAGGACAAGGGACCCACACGGGAGGAAGTGGTGAAAAAAGTGAACGCTCTAATGGACGATCTTGCGTCCCACACAAACGTACAGGACGCTCTGGCAGCCTTTAAAGACCTCAAAATACCCGAGCGTTTCTTACGTCATGCAATTTGCACGTTGTACTCAAATACGCTAGACCGTGGTGACTCCGAACGCGAACTTGCCGCAAAGCTCGTGGCCGAACTGAAGAAGGAAAATCTACTCACTCTACAGCAAGTGAACGAGGGATGGAAAGAACTAGTGGCCAGTATATCTGAAAAGGAGAGTACCGTGCCTTTGGTAGCGTCTCACGTTGCGTTCCTTACAGCCAAGGCCATAGTGGACAATCTAATCCAGTTGACCGATCTCGCCTCGGAAACAGAAAACGGTCGTCATCATCCGTTGTTCCTGCTGACTCTACAGCAACTTCACAAGACACAGGGCAAGGCAAGATTGACTCAAATCTTCAACGACAGCAAAGTGGATCTCATCAGTCAGCTGCCAGAAGCCGAAAAAACAAAAGAACGTTTAGGCGAGATCTTGGAAGACCGCGAACTGACTTTCCTTTATCCTCTTCTCAGAATCCAAGGAGACATGTGGCGTCAATTAGAAGCCGATCCAGCGCCCAATGCTCTTTACAAGTGGATCAAAGAGAAGCTGGATCCCCAACATCATTCTGATCCCTCATTTATCAATGCTATGATGAATGTGCTTTTCAAGTACATCACTGGGGTTAGTAAAGCTTATAAACATTTTTTCTTATATTTTACTTTACTATCGTGTATTATACACGGTAAGAAAAACCAATCAACTTAACTCTTATAATTACTTTTACAAATATAGATGATTTTTAAAATGTGTAATAAATCAATGAATTTTTATTTGGATGTGACAGGAGACAACACTGGCGCCCGGCGTTGATCCAACCGTAAATCCAGACAAACAACTGCAAGAAAAGGAAAGTGCGTTACTGCAGAAATATGCACGCTTTATTCGCACATTCCTGACTACCATTGACTCACAAGTTACGGCTCTTCATGCGCTTCAAGTGTTCTGTTTCTCGCACAATTTTCCGAAAGGGCTGCTGCTGCGATGGTTCATAGCACTCTACAACCTTGAAGTCATCGAAGAGGAAGCCTACCACAAATGGAGAGACACCGTTACCGATGCTTATCCGGGCAAGGGCAAGGCATTATTCCAGGTAAACATGTAATTTCTAATAATAATAATAATAATAATAATCTTCGTAAACAACAATGAATGGATAATAATTTTTTCTGCTCAATGCTTTGGAATTTTATAGATCGAAAATTAAAATAAATAATTGTTTGCTTATTATAATAAAGTTTAAAATAAGGAAATAAGTTAATGAATTTTTAAGTGAAGTAATTTTTTCAAATAAAATGCCTCGAAGATTAATGCAAATGTGTATCGTATGTGTGACAGGTGAACTCATGGTTAACATGGCTTGCCGAGGCATCGGAAGAAGAAGAAGAAGACGACGAAGATGAAAAGAATTAAACGCAGAAGCCTCGGGAGCATTATTCAGACTATGATTTGTGGAAATAGGGTTTTATTGTCTGTATCGCTGAATCGCAGGAGATTTCAGTTTTACTAATTGAGTTATCTCCATCCTCCAGAGTTTTCGAACATCTTGTCAAGTCTGTCTCAAGCCTTCTCGTGTGATTGAGGAAAAGGACTTTACAATCGGAGCAAAAAAACGGAATAAGAGTTTGTAGCTAATGAAGAGAGGAGAAGTGATTACATGACAGACGTGTTTAAAACAAGAAGTTTTAGAAGTTTTTTAGATAATTATAAATATATCGGTATAATTTATATAAAAATAAAATAATATTGGGTCAGCAGATATCAAGATACTCCGCCATGATGTGATCATCGGTGAAAAAAAAAAAGAAAAAAAAGAAAAAAAAACAGATAAAAAAGGAAAAATTAATCTGGTCGTATTGGTATTGTCTAAGTTTTGTCGAGTATATTGTGCATGTATCACGTTTTGTAAGTCTTTTTTTCATCCGCGATAATAAGTGGTGTCATTTGTTATCTCTGTGTACCAAGCAGTACATTTATTATGAAGAATTATTATTAATATATATTATTATTATTATTATTATTAATTATACACAATTAATTATCAGTAATCGAAATATATCTATATCTTTCTAAATGAAAAAAAGAAAAAAACTATCGAAATTAATGGCACACGATAAGTTGAGCTAGTAGTGTACGTAAAAAAAAAAAAAGACAAATCATGAAGCACTTGGTTTTGAAAAACAAAAGTGAAAATTCTTAGATCGCGATTTATACATACTATACTGTGTTTTTCGAAAGTTATAATCGTTCAACTTAAAAGAACAGCAACAAGGAAAGAAAACAATTTGTGTTTTGACTGTGTATTCACACACACTTGCTACGCCATTTAATTCTATTAAGTACTAATTAATTACAGTTACAATATAACAACCAGCAGCCAACATCACATCCATTTAACATAATATATTTAGCAAACACTAGTGAGACACGACTAAAAAGTTCATATTTAAAAATTAATAAAATACGCCTTGGTGTAATTTATTACAGATGGCCCCCTGGTTGTTGTTGCGTTGATGACCAAACTTACTACCACCTCTCTTTCACTCCACCTTGCATTTTTCCCGCTTCTTTTATATATATATATATATATATGTATATGTGTGTATACATATATATACACATATATATATACATGCTATGTTTGTCATGCTGATATTTTGTTCTATATCGAGCGCGCGAAAGGATCAGTACGCGCGGACAATTTGTACCGCGCGTGCTGATCAAGAGAACGGATGTATTTTATTCCGCGTGTCATCCCCAAGTGATCATGATAGTTGAAAACCTTCAGACCGGCTCGAGACGCCAATAATTAATAAATCTGAAGCTCCATGCAATAATTGCGCCGGCTATGAAATGGCGCATATTTTTTTTTTTTTCTCTTTCGTTTGAAACCGATAGAGACACTTCCAATACATTCTCCAATATGTATATTAGCCTATTTTGTTTATTCTTTTGTGTCTTTTTGTAGTAAACTGACTAGTATTCTTGTTGAATATTTCTGAATGTAATTGTAAATGTAAAAAAATAAAAAAAAAAAAAAACAATATGAAATATGTCGCGGTGTCGAGAGAATTTGGATGCAACTTTGGTTGTCCGTGTAATTGTCATAGAATATTGTACATATATATATACACGATACTATATATATATATATATAATCTATATCTATATATTCCTGTTGTTTCACAGTTTCTACGTAATATTTTACCGCCGGACTGAAGTGTTCTTTTCTTTTTTTTTTCAAACACTTTTGTTTTCTTGTTTAACGATGAAAAAAAAAAAAAAAAATACGTACAGGTGGTAATAACGCAATCAGAGTGCGTCGTCAGAGTTAAGATCCGTAGCATATCTTGTTTACTCACCGTCAAGCGTTACACATCCTCATCAGATAAATAATGTCATCCGGTACACATTATTCACGAACCAGTTTGATAGAGCACTTAAGACAATAATACGTTTATACGTTGAATGCTAGCGAGAATTGGTTTTTTTTTTTTTTTGCAAAAGCGCTATATAATAAGTAGATCACAATGCGTTTGAATACACACACATACTTTGTTTGAGAGGATTGGTAACAGAATGATATGTACCAGGCGTATATACATATAACATATATTCGTTACGTTCTTCTTTTTGTAGAAACTTAAAAAAAAAAAAGAACACCAAATATGTCTATATTATTCTCTACTTGGCGAAGAGGTTTTTACAACTGATCCGGTTTCGGTTTTGATACGTCTCTCTCTCTCTCTTTCAAGAGAGAGAACAAAACAAAAGATAAGAAAACACTCATGTAACATGTTAAATAGACGTATAATGTATTTGTTGTTCTGTCGTATTTGTGTTTGTAAAGCGCAAAATAATCATTCGCTTATTATTTACTCATTATATGGCGAAACGTCTCGCTTCCGTTCACGATGTCGCGAAAAAGTAACAAATGTCTACTTCACAATATTTTGTTAATTTATTTTTCTCACATATATTATAATATATATATATATATATATATATATGTATGTATGTATGTATATGTATATTATGATACATACACTTTCCTTAAATTGAATATATACGCATACCTAATTGATCCATGATGTATAATGTCTCTCTCTTCAGTATTATTTCATCATATAAATGAAATAAGTTTATGTAGAATCTTAGTTTCTCTTAGATGCTAAAAAAAAAAAAAAAAAAAAAAAAAAAAAAAACTTAATGAAAATTTATCTTTTATCTCTGTCAA